TCATTTGTCTCACCTTCCTTAACTTGTCATGCGTGCATGATGATGGCATTCCAAATCAATGCCCAGCCTGCTGCTGCTTGGCTCATGGGGAAAGAGAGACGGGGTCCTATTCTGCCAAGTACCCCAAACAACAGGCTTCAAAAGTGTGTGTTGGGGGAAGATGGAGTTTAAACCTTTGTTAAATCTGTTTCTATTCACTGTGTCACAAGGACTTATGGAAGAGCTCTCTTGTCAGTGGAGAGGTTCTCTAAATTTAATTACATTTGATAGTTAAAATAGTATTGCTCAGACATAATTGGAAACTTTCATAATTAATTACTGAGTCATTTTTAAAATCTAATGCTTTTCTTCTCTCTCATTTCTTGAAATGTCTAGATACTGGCTGCTCTGCAGAAAGATAACCGGGAAATGGAAAAAGGAAGTCCTTCACTCAAACGTTAATGTTGGGTTTGCCTCCAGTGACTCCCAGAAAAAGAGCTAAAGTGGCAAAATTATTGATTACTGTTTGACATGTATGAGCCTGCAAATCAAAGTGTTAGTTCGGAATTATATATAGTAGTAGAATAGCCTTAAAGGGGAGAGAAGAAAAACGAGGAGGAGGAATGAAAAAAATAAGAAAGGAAATTAGGGGATAAACCCCTTATAAATTAAACCTAGGCCTAGCCTTAACCTTGTAGTGGTATGAGCATATGCTGTGGAGAGCATTACACATTCTGTACTTCTCATTAGGGCAGTGAAACAAAATAATATCGAGGGTTTGGGGGTTTCTAAATTTTTTTCTTCAATGTTTGAAAAGACTGGACATTCAGCAATGTTGGTTGCTTTGACAGCTATTCCCATTTCATTCTTAGGCAGGATATATTTCCAGTACCTGTAACAGTAGCTGGATCTGGATTTTAGATAACTGGTGCTGGAATTTTAAATGATGTAAGGACCATTTCTTTAGAAATGCTGCTGATTTTGTAGGCTGTGGGTCCCATTTACCAAAGAAATCATATAGACATGTAACTACATTCCTTTCTTTAATAAGAAAAAGTTAAGTAGAAAGTGAGCTTGGAAGGGAAGTCAAACTAGCAGTGCAAAATTAATTATTCTTTGGGATGCCTTGGAAATTTATTTTTCCAGTCTGGATGCATATGGAGGAAGTTGCATCCATCAGACTAGATTCCAAACTCACCAAGAGGGTTCTAGTATTAAGGTGGCATAATTTCCCAACTGTACTTTTCCCTCTGTTTGAAGCCAAGGTCACATACTACTAAATGCATGTTTTCATGTGTTCCTCTCCTGGGGCGCTGCTTTGGGATGTTCTTGCCTACCAGCTGCTTACTCATGTGCCATGTGTCCAGTCATGGAGGTAAAACTGGGCTTAGCAGATAAACTGATGAATGGTTAAAAGCAATTTTGGTAGCTACTTTAAACCCAGCTTTGCTCACTGGCAGAGCTAAGGAGGAAGGGTGGGTGGTAAGGGAGCAGATAATGTTTGCCAGTGTCACTGCTGAAAATAAAAGGTTTTGTGGAATCTCCTGAAGCTACTTCTGCTCCCACAGTGGGAAAGTTATGTGGAGCTGATCCATAGAGTGACAAGAAGTTTATTGGGAAATGTGCCAGACCACCATCAGGATAAGTACAAGCATCATTCCTGAGTGTTTTATCTGACCTCTAATACATGAGAGCAAGTTACAGCAGCAGCAAACTCCCTTACATGAATTCCTCATACATCTTAGATCTTCCCTGCATTCAGGTGAATGTTGAAGGGCAAATCATGAGTGCCTCTGATTTACAAGAATGTTTATTGCATAGTGTATAGTGTAAACCCTATTTTATACTAATGATGATCATTGAAAAGGGAAATGTAACTGAAGCAATATTTGTGTTAACGGTGAACCAGCATTACTAAATCCTCCAGCTGTGTATGGTCAGCAGTTTCCCAGTGCTCTCCAGCTGGTTTATGCTGATTATTTTGGCATTGTCTGAATAAAAACAAGAGGAATAGTTGCACACTGCTCAGCTCAACATAGTGTAAAGGACTGTGGGACATAATCAAAACACTGTCCTTTGGTACAGACATTATTTCCATGAGGGATAATTTGATTGTAATATTAAGAGTGAGAACAAGATTCCCTGGTAAGTGAGGACTCATAATCACTTTGAAAGATGTGTAATGCAAATGCAGCCTGCAAGTCCAATACCTCATTGACCTCTTCTCCTGTCTACTTTGTGTAGCTGGTGTAATGGATGTGGATTTTTGTTAGTCATCTCAATTCCTCCTCAAGACACCACCTAGGTCATCACTTACTGAAAATAGTCGTTAAGATGTGATAGGAAATAGGAATTTGTACAGAATTTGTCCTCCAGTGACTGGTACTTGTATGCTCCATTGCTTTGAAGTGCAATAGAAAGCAGGAAGGTCAGTAAGTGTTTTTTAATATTACTTTTTCTATTGCTACAACAAATAATGCCTTTCCATAAAGAATACGAGAGGCCTACCATCCGAAACATTTGCACTACGCTTTTAAATGGTTTATTGAACACCGAGATCACTTTTTCCTCAATATACATGTTTAGGTGGTACTGTAACTGGCTTTGTGATTTAAGTCTTCATTGCAACTACATTTGTATTTTCTTTTAAAGCAAGTCTACAGCGTGGCTCATTTGTCTAGTTAAAAATGCATTTTTTAGCTACTAGGTATCTTGGCAGCCATCCACAGCCTGTTCTTTTTCTCTTCTCAATAAGATGTTGAATGTAACAGTGACAGTGGGCATAGTTGTGGGGAAAAGGCCTGCTGCAACACTTGTGCACTGTTTGTTACTTGCAAATGTAACTACTTTGTTTTGTGATTTGATCTGTTCTTAGAAGTTGTATATATTTTCTAAATGATTTCTTTGTGTATATAAGGTATGTTCTTTAATGAAGAAACAGCAATGCAATAAGGAGCTTTGCACAGTTTGTTTTCAAACAAAATACATGTGAAAAAAATCACCTGCCTAAACATGCAATTATTTCAACTTCTCAATAACTTGATTTGAAGGTAATGCTTGAATTTTGATAAAAACAGAGCTGAGTAGTAATGGCATAGAATTTCTTGCCACTGAGCTTTTCACGATTCTTGCAGTATACCAAATCTCTTAATTAGCTAATACAGACATCTTCTTTAAGAAATTCAGGGAATTGCATTAAAAAATTGACAATTTTATTGTTCAGGTACTTGAAAGTATCTGTAACAAGATGCATGAGATTTTCTTTCATGGAGCAAATGTCCCCATCAAGCATTATTTTCTTCATGGGTTTAAAGAAAAATAAAACTGCTGCAATACATGAAAAGTACCACTGTACGTGCAGCAGATCAGAGAAACCAGAAAACTCCAACCAGCTTTGGGATTCTTTATAATCTGCACTTTATAATAAAGCGGTTTTGCAACTTCAATCTGCAGTCAAGTCATTAATGTTATTTCATTTAGTAAACAATTTCATTTGGAAAAAAAAGGTACCTTGTAACAGCTTATTTTTGAATGTTTTAAAACAAGAATGGTATATAGACAAGTGTTGGTACATCTCCTGTACATCATTTTTAAATTGGGTTATGTCGTTACCACATTTGTTTTGTTTAGATATGTGTATCAAACTGGAACTTTTTTCAACTGTAAATATATGGTTTTGTTAAATAAAGTCATGTAAAGTTATCTTAATCCACTGTTGTCAGTGTAATTCAGATATTAAAAATTCCAGTACTAGTCTTTCTTCACACAGGTGGCTTTAGCAGTTTTTGTCTGTTCAAGAAGAGGACTTTGGGCCATTTATGTAGTGAAGGTGGAGGACTTTTTGTGATGCTTTCCAAGTTCTCATGTTAAAATACCTGTTAAATTCCCTGAGACATTTAGAAGATCTGATACTTACTGTGCCTGTGTTTTTATCCCTATTCATATGTCTTTCTCTGGACTAGGCCTGAGGTCTAATAAATGTGTTTTATGAAAAATAGTTGTAAATACATCTTTGTGACATGCTCAGAGCTCAGGAATGCTTAAATACCTTATCCTGGCTTTGTTTGCGAAGAGGAAATCTTAGTTTATCCCAAGTTCCATAATCACAAAGCATTTTTGTCCTCAAGGCAATATTATTTTACTTCTGCCATAGGCAAAACTTCAGAACTTGAAGTGAAGAAGCTTCCTGTTGCTAAAGTGAAAAGAGGTAGAAGGACCAAATAAAAGAGGGGAGAGAAGGCAGTGCCTGTGCTACAAGGGTGTGTGCAGAACACAGGCAAACCTTGGCTGCCATGGTTCTGGTTTATCCAGCAAGCAGCTCTTCCTTTCACTGAAATATCTCCTGATGTGCAGAATTAGAACGTGAAATCAGATTTGTTCTCTCTAACACTGATTCGATACTGCACGATATTTATATTGTATCTGTTGCAGGAGTTGCACACCTGATACCTTCTTTTTGAGCGCCAGGATTTCGTACAGATGGCCGAGCTCTTTCTTCACACGCTCACAGTCCGTGGAGCGGTGACCAGTTCTCTCCGAGCAGTCAAGCTGCTTCCAAGCGTTTGGATTTCACGCCTTAGCCTGGTGTTTTCTGCGTGGGCTGAGAGGAGTAGAACTAAAGGAAGAACCGCTCTGTTCCTTCACTCCTCCCCTGCCCGGGGCGGCGGTGACTCCTTTGGGCTGTCGCGACAGTGACAGTGACAAGGCTCCTCCCGCGGCGGCCCCGGCCCCGCCCCGCTTCCCCCGTTGCCAGGCACCCGCTCGGCCCCGCCCCCTGCCCGTGCGCGGCCCCGCCCCCTGGCGGGCGGCCCCTGCGCGAGGGCTCCGCTCGGGGCCGCCCCTCCCCATTGGCCGCGGGAAGGGCAGACGGGTCCGGCTCGGCCAATCGGAGCCGTCCCCTCGCGCTGGCACCCCCCGCGCCCGCCAGCCCCGGTCCCATTGGCCGGTGCTCGCCGAGGCCCCGCCCCCCAAGCGAGCTGCCATTGGCGGCGCGGGCACAGGGGGCGCGGCCGCGCGCGCGCGCGGGCGGGGTAAGATGGCGGAACTGGGGAAGAAGTACTGCGTGTACTGCCTGGCCGAGGTGAGCCCGCTGCGCTTCCGCTGCACCGAGTGCGCCGACATCGAGCTCTGCCCCGAGTGCTTCTCGGCGGGCGCCGAGATCGGCCCGCACCGCCGATGGCACGGCTACCAGCTGGTGGACGGCGGCCGCTTCACCCTCTGGGGCGCCGAGGCCGAGGGCGGCTGGAGCAGCCGCGAGGAGCAGCTGCTGCTGGACGCCATCGAGCAGTTCGGCTTCGGCAACTGGGTAAGGGGCGAGGGACGGGGGGCGGGGGCGATCCTTCTCCTCGGACCAGCGGCCCTGACAGCAGACCGGGGCGCCTCCTGCGCTGCGGAGCGGGGCTGCCCCTCTTTCCGGGCGGGCTCCCGCTGGCCCGGGAGCGCACCCGGCAGCTCGGACCTGTCGCTACTCGAAGTTCTGTGTTTGCCTCCCGCCAGGCCGTCCGTGCCACAGATCTTGCACCTGCCTCTTACCATGCTCAGCCTTTGCCTTCAGTATGTTCACATGCGGGCTGGCTGCTGGCCTTCAGTGTCACTGCACAGCCAGACTTGGTTTTAAAAAGCAGCAGTAAGAGAGCATCATTTCACGATCACAGAATGGATTATGTCAGGTTGGAAAGGACTACAGTGGGTCACTCCAGAGCACAGTGCACAGGATTGCATCCAGACGGTTCTTGACTATTTCCAGTCAGGGGGACTCCACAGCCACTCCGGGCAGTCTGTCCCAGTGCTCAGTCACCCAGTCAGTGAAGAAGTTCTTCCTCATGTACATGCAGGGCTTCCTGTGCATCAGTTTCTGCTTGTTGCCTCTTGTCCTATTGCTTGACACCACGGAGCAGAGCCTGGCTCCATCCTCTGACACCTCCCTTCAGATACTGATGGGCATTGGTGATGTCCCCTCTCAACTGTCCCTTCTTGAGGCTGAACAAGCCCAACTCCCTCAGCCTGTCCTTGTAAGAGAGAAGGTCCAGTCCCCCAGTCATCCTCATTGCCTTTCTCTGGACCATTTGATTCATTTTTCATTGATTTGATTTGTTGTTACTTATGTTTTGCTTCATTAAATATAAAGACTTTTTCAAAACCTTAAAATGTCCAATCATTGCAGCTTGCTTAGTTCTTACATAACTAGAAAAGAATAAATATTGTTGCTTTTACAGTAAATACTGTTTGTTTATTTCCATGTAGCTCCTCAGTAATGTGGGATAAGCAAGCAAAACCCAAATTGTACAGTGCTCTTGGTGTTGGCATGGGACTTGGAAAGCTTCCTGGTTGTGGTGGGCTGGCTTTGTGGGAGTGCCATGGATGGTCAGGAATCACCATGTGGTGCTTTTTTCCTGGCTTACCTGCCTCCATGCACTGTAAACACTCATCCAGAGCTGAAATTGCAGAGCTGATAGGAATATGGCCAGTATTGCTGGAAAAGTTTAGGTACTGGGAGTTGGCTTTTGAGGAGCAAGGAAAAAGTCATGCTTTTTCCTGAGTGCTCATTATGCTGGAGATGTAACGGGAATCATTTTATCACTCCTTTTTTTCTGTTTAGGAGGACATGGCTGCCCACGTGGGAGCATCCCGAACACCGCAGGAGGTGATGGAGCACTATGTGAGCATGTATATCCACGGCAACCTGGGAAAAGCCTGCATCCCTGACACTATTCCCAACAGGGTGACGGACCACACGTGTCCCAGCGGGGGCCCGCTGTCTCCCAGCCTGACGACGCCGCTGCCGCCGCTGGACATCTCGGTGGCGGAGCAGCAGCAGCTGGGGTACATGCCCCTCCGCGACGACTACGAGATCGAGTACGACCAGGACGCCGAGACGCTCATCAGCGGCCTCTCGGTCAACTACGACGACGACGACGTGGAGATCGAGTTGAAGAGAGCTCACGTGGACATGTACGTGAGGAAACTCAAGGAGAGGCAGCGGCGGAAGAACATCGCCCGAGACTATAATTTGGTGCCGGCCTTCCTGGGGAAGGATAAAAAAGACAAGGAGAAAGCTCCCAAACGAAAGATCACAAAAGAAGAGAAGGAGTTGAGGCTGAAATTGAGGCCTTTGTACCAGTTCATGTCTTGTAAGGAGTTTGAAGACTTCTTCGAGAACATGCACAAGGAGAGGATACTTCGAGCGAAGATTCGGGAGCTGCAGCGGTATCGGAGAAATGGGATCACCAAAATGGAGGAGTCGGCAGAGTATGAGGCAGCCAGGCACAAACGGGAAAAGAGGAAGGAGAACAAGAACATAGCTAGTTCCAAGAGAGGGAAGGAAGAGGGTAAGGAAGGTGAATTTGCTGCCATTGAAAACCTGCCTGGCTTTGAACTCTTATCGGACAGGGAAAAGGTGCTCTGCAGCTCTCTGAACTTGAGTCCTGCACGTTATGTGACTGTAAAAACTATCATCATTAAAGACCATCTCCAAAAACGACAAGGAATTCCTTCAAAGAGTCGCCTTCCTAGTTACTTAGATAAGGTACTGAAGAAAAGGATTTTAAACTTTCTGACAGAAAGTGGTTGGATATCCAGGGATGCTTCATGAAATTCAGCTGATCTGAAAAAACACAGCAGACGCCCATTACAGTCTCAAGGACTCAGTTTGTTTTTCCTTCCCTCCCCAAAGATACAGAAACCATGTCGCTTAAAAACACAAAAGAGCAAATACATAAACCCCCCCAGTCATCATGATCCATGGTGGTTCAAATAGACTGTTGCTTTGGATCATGGCAAATACTTAATTGTGAAACTTCTACATTGGATTTCACTGCTTTTGGTACATTATTAGAACAGATTTTTTCTTGTGAACTTACTCAAGTCCGGTAGTCCCAGAGTAGTTGCTTTAGTCCGTACTATTGGATAAATGAATACCAGTGTAATCCTTGCTTTTCTTTGAAGCTAGGAGAGTTTCATTTCGTGGAAACTTTCTTCACCCTTTGTTTTGTTTTTTTTGGCATAATGCTGGCAGCAAAGCGAAGCTTACAAAAGTCCTGTGCTCAGGAGCAGGTGAGCAGGGACTTTTGTGACCATTGCTAAGCTTTTGAACATTTTCCTTAGTAACTACAGCCAAGGCATGGGGACACCAGGATGAGAGTTCCTGTCGAGAGTACAGCAGGGGTGAGCCGTGGCAGGGAGTGGAAGGAAGGAAGGAAATGTGGTAGGTGAGGTGCCTCCAGGGACTTGTGCTGTGGAGGGGGGTTCTTGAAGAGTTCTCAGCTAATCTGGGCATTGCTTTGACCTGAGTTTCCTGAAACAGGCCCCTCTGAAGCTTTGACGTTTCCTGGTACTGGAGTGTGTGTCAGGAATCCCCAGCAGCTGTGGTGCTCTGCTCCAGAGGAGGGGTCAGCTACAATGAGGTACCTGATTTGGGCCCGAAATGGGGTATGGGAGAATAGGCAGTGAGGTGTTTGGCAGAAGCTGAGAGCCTAAGGCAGCAAAATCACTGTTCTTCCTTGTTGGGGGAGCCTGCTCCTCCTCCTTTGGGATCTTTACTGCTGAACTCATACAGGCTGAGGAGGTGCCTCCTGAATTTTGTTGGGAAGTCAGGGAAAGGGAGCAAGATTCTCAAATGGAGCCTGATTGCCAAGATTGGTCTTTAAAAACAAAAATAGCAATTGATGCAGATTTCGTCAAAATGCACAAAGTGTTTGGAGTGCTTAATCCAGCCACTGTAGGGTTCTAATTGCACATACCTTGAAATGTACTGGCCCAGGCACATTGAATCTGAATTTACTGACAAGTAGAAGAAGAGTGCACCTTGGGAGGGATCTCCTCCAGTTCGTACAGCTGCAGCCTGGAGTGCTGCTGGAGCTGGGCACCAGCTAGGATGTAACACAGCGGGAAACACAAATGTCAGACCCACAGTACTGTTCTACTAAGATCTATTAATTAAGGGTAAAATGTTGAAGGAGGATTAGAAAAAGATTTTTATGCCCATTTCATCCTTCAGTTCCCATGCTGGTATTTAATCAAATGAATATGGAATGGTGCTTTCCACGTGGAAGATGCAAAGTTACATGTGCATAAGCCTCTCTGCTGGTCGTGTCTGGAGCAGGAAGCTGTGACTGGAGCCAGGCTGGGCAGGTCTTCTAGAGTGCAGGGGTACCAAAACTTGGAACCTGACTGGCTTCAATATGAGTGCAAGATCTGGAAATGTCATCTTGCTTCGATGCTTTGGGCTGTAGTCAGTGAAGATACCACAAAATCCTAAAACAGTATTAATTCTACAGTTTGGCAGAGGTATTCTGATCAGAACCAGGTTTCATTCAATCCATCCATCATTACCAAACTAGTGTTACCAGTGAGTTTAGAATAAAAGGGGTACAATTACAAAGCCAGCATTTCTAAGGAAAAAACCAAAACTCTAGTGCCTTTTTCTTTTGAGCTTATGATGTTATGTCCCTTCAAAAACGGTAAGGGCTATGTCCTCTGGGATGTAATACTTTGGCTTACCTGTAAGTGGTTTGTTGTGGCATACTCGAGACAAAACTGTCTCTTCTTGGCAGCAGTGAGCTAACTGCAATGTGCTGAGTAGCTTTAATAACCACTTCCACCCTATATGCATGTACAAGCAGCACACAAGTTCATAAGGTATAAACCCTTGGTTATTTTCTCTGTCCTGCTCCTGTGGGAAGGAAGCTCAGTCTTTCTTTTCAGCATTCTGGTTATGCAATTTGGTTCTTCCTGTAACTTGTTACCTAACTCCATAACATGCTGTTTTGAAGCCTCAATTCTGCATGTAGCTGGGAGTTTGACAATTGTTTTGGTTTTGGTTCTTCTGGGTTTTTTCCCCCTCAAATCTGTGATTTTCATATTTCTACACTGTTTTGGCACATCTAAGTTAAACTAAAGCAATAGCATAAAGCCCATCTGAACAATAACTTAGGAAAAAAATCTAGGCACCAATGAGTCATTTAAAAGTTGGAGTGAATTCTGCTTTTACACTTTGTAGCTTCTTAATTCCTCAACCTTTCCAAAATGTTTCTTTGGTGCTAGATGTAACTTATTGAACATCAAAATGAATGTAAAATAAAGTATTTTTAATGTATGCAATGTCGATATCAATATTTATTTTGTACTTGCAAGCTAACTCAAGGTGGTAAATGTTTGCTTTAGCAAATATTAGTCCCTTGGAAAGGGCTTCCCTAGAAGCAATGTCTCATTGTCAGCTATGCTTTTACTTTTAAAGGTGACTTGCACTAGAGGATGCTGCTGTTCCATATTTCACATGGAACTGATTTAGTCTAAGCATTCCTTTGTTATGAGCTGCTGGTTTTCTGTTTGATTGCTTATAAATTGAGATGCAGTTAATGTTAATCCAGCAATTTACTACAGCTATACTGCTTCTCTTCTATGGTGAAGGGGCTGAGATGGCAAAGAGCTCTTTCAGCTTGTATTTTGTGTTGATCTGGAAGTGCTTCCTGTACTGTACAAATAACCCAGCCTTCATGTTGCTAATGACAAGGTGTTTTACATGCTTAATGCTCTTTTCTAATTAAAGTTATTACTAATGATAGTATCTGTCTTAACAGCATTGATGTAAGCCTATGAAAAAGCAACACTCTCTAAGCTGTTGAAAATACTGATCTTGTGCTCTGGGTAGGGGCTGTGCTGTGTGTCCCGTCCCTGCTGTGTTGGAGGGAGCCTCCATCTCATTCCGTGTGCACTGCCCAGCACTGGGCTAGGATGCTGCAGAGATTCTGGCTACAGCCCCTCCTGCCCCCTGCTCATGGCAGAACCAGCACAGTGTTCTCACAGCTTGCACTGGTCTGTGACCATCACTGCCTTGGAAATCACCCAAACTCAGCACTCTGCCCTTACTCTCCTGTGCGGCCGCTGCGTTTTGATTCCTTTGCAACTGGAACAGGCTTCACGAGCCTTCTGCTTTACTCTTCTCACAAAATGTTTGTGCGTGTGCCCCAGTCACTCCTAAGTGATGGCACATTAAATACTGTGAAGCAAGATACCCCATGAGCATGTTCAGCTCATCAGCTTCTTTCTTCTAAAGAAAGGGAATGTTGCATTCATTTGAAGTTTACATTTGTAGCTGTGCCAGACACACAAACGCCTGTGCTGAAATCACACAAAGCCTAACTGATGTTGTGCACACTGCATTTTACTAGATTTTTGCATTGTGTATTGGCAAATAAACTTGTATTAACGTTTCTTTCCATGACTGATTGACAATAATGTAGCTTGGGCAATGAGAAAAATGGCTTAAGCCTTTGCAATAACAAGTGGAGATGCATTATAGCTAAATGTGATGGGTGGAAATGTCTATGAAATAGCTGGTACTGCTGGTAGCTTTGTTGGGTGCTTGAATTTCAGAACTACTTTCCTCTGTTCTTCGATATCTTCAGTGCTCTTTCCTGGGGTGTGGCAGAATGCACAGGTGGCTGGAGCTCTCCCTAGACTGACCCACTCCATGCCAAAGCCTCTCTGAGGACAGGCCAGGGAAGGGGAACCACTTTAATGACTCAGTTACCAGCTTTAAAGATGAACCTTGTGCTTAACATTTAACAGAATCTTGTATTTAAGAACACCCTGAATTAATTGATACAGTCCAAAAATGACAGTTAGTGTGAAGCACTGGGAAGCTCATTAACAAGATCTTCATCTGCTAGGGAACAAGGTGTCCCTTTTGTTTTACAAACTCCCTACACTAAGGACGTTATTATTACATTTAGTTTAGATCTAGAGGGATTGGGAAGGGACAAAACAACACATGACAGTTCTTAGGAGGTATATAAAATGGAACCCGGTCTCAGTGCAAGAAAACCATTTCTTCAATCCTACTTCACACAACTACAGCGTGCTGTTAAACACAGATGGAGGAACGATATTTCCAAATTCAACTTGAGTATACGGAATCCTCTTTTCCCCCCCCTGTATTTTTAAACTCGATCTTTGCATTTTTTTCCCCCCGTACTTGCTTAGTTTTTAAAAAATAACATTTTAGTTGTCTTCACACATCAAAAAATGACTCTTTCCTCTGCCTAGTCGAAGCATTCTTAAGAGTTGAGAAAGAATTAATCCTTAAATATGACTAACGTCCAAACAGTTCAATGTACTTAAGCTGTTCCTGGTTAACTGCTTAATTCCCATGGGGGAAACCAGCACTGGGAAAAATGTCTTGAGGAATGAGTAATCACTTCTCACCATGAGTAGGTCCAGTGTTCAGTAAGCTCTTGGCAACTCTGCATCTGAACCACAAAAAATATAATCAACACCTGACCTTAAGAAGCTCCGTAATCCATAATAACCAGAAACATGGTAAAAAATTCAGAAGTACTTACTTTTTACAGGGCCTAATAACTTCCCTAAGTTTGAAGATTCTGTCCTGTGTGTTATTAGTGTGGGCTTTCAGGATACAAGAGGACACATCCTTTGTCAGTTATGTAATTTGCCAGGTTCCACCCACTCCTATCAAAGTAACCAGACAAACATCGTTCAGATAATCATGTGTTATATTAGCCTGATTATGCAGGATTGGGAGCAGCAGGTGGAGTTAGACCTGGCAAGGGAAAAGTTCTGGTGCAACCTAAGATCCAAGCTGAGTAAATATATGAAATAATGAAAATGAAACTAAATTCACACTTTTGTTTGAGCCACTTACATGCAATTATTTATGTAAATCTAAAAGAAATCACATACCCAACTCTCAGCAACTCACTTCTTTGGGTGTTCTGGCTCTCAGCAGGATTGTAACTACAGTTTGCATAACAAACTGATTGCAAAGCTGGAAGTTACAAGACTATAAAAATTGTTTAAACCAATTTATACATTAAATTAAAAATCCAGAGATAGGATAAATTCTATTGGTTCTTCAATGCCATACAAATATTAGATAGTTTTCTTGATTCAATATTAGTACAGGACAAAAAGGTTGAACAATTACAAAAGATATCTGATCTCTATTGCCATTTATTTACAGTTCAGAATTCACACAGGTTTCAGTTTTGGTTGTTGAGAGAAATTATTTTTGAATAGACAAAACAGGGCGTTTATCACATCAGTGTGTAAACGCTGATGGGTGCTTGCAGAAAGCAGGTTATTTGTACATCACCCACTTCTGCAGTGTGAGATTCTACAAAACCAAAGGAAGTGTTTGAACCACTATCTGCATTTTCAATCTACACACAGTGATAAACTTGAAATTGCAACATTCTTGTGAGCGTTTAATTTTTTCCAATTTAATTCACCTTCTCAGGAGCAATAGTTGTAAAAAACATTATCTAATCTAAAGCATTAGAGGGCTTAATGGCTCTTGTAGTTCACTGAAGAAGAGCTTATGGAACAGTGATGTTGAAGGCCACTAAGCAGGAGAATTTCATCAATTACTTCATTTTTACTGGGAAACCTCAACCAACTCATTTAAACCTCTCGAGGAGCAGAGCAACGAGGGAAGCATGGTGTGAGAGAAAAACCATCCAGCTGTTTAATAGTTGTATGGCATCTGAAACTCTCAGCTTGAGCAGCTAAGCGTCCTTGACAACCCCCACGAGGGCGGGCCGCAGCGTGCGCCCGTGCAGCTTATAGCCAATCTTGGATACGAGCGCGATGGTGCCGGGCTCCTGGCCCTCCACGGGAGCGTGGAACAGCGCCTCGTGCTCGTACGGATCGAACTTGGCTCCCACAGGGTCCAGTCTCATCAGGCCATGCTTTTTGAACACTTTCTGAATCTGCATTTCTGTCATGACAAGACCTTCGTACAAGCTCTTCAAGTGAGGATTGTCATCCTTAATTTCTTCTTTTGGAACGCTTTCTGTTGCTTTCTCCAAAATGTCTGCAACTTCTAGTAAGTCCTTACAGAAGCTCTGGATCCCTGGAAATGCATAAAGGAGGACAATGGGATTAGTCCACTGAGGGAAACAAGTGTTAAAAACCCCCGACCTCACAACCCCAAAAGCTACAGCAATAATCTGCACTCAAAGACTTTTAAGAAGATACGTGATACTGTAATCATTTGGGGTAAAATATCCTTTCCAGTTTTGGATGATAATAAAGAACTATTACAGATACCTTGAAATCCACACCATCTCCTCTACTTCTATGAAAAAAAAAATGATTTCAACTCAAAACAGTTAAGTTATGCTAATGACCTAACAATAACAGTTAAGATTCTTACCAAAGTTACCAAAACCTTCAGATGACCATGTAATTTCCTCATGTCTCTCTCATCATCTAACGTTCAAAGCATTATGTCGCCCTATTCCTACCCTTTAATCTGATGTCATAAAAAGATTTGCAGAAGACAAAGCATGTAATCAGACTGATGAGGATTTCAAGAGATGAACAAGGATTCTTCCTTGAATTAAAAGAACTTGCACCTCTCCCTCCCACTGCAAAACTCTTTCACAGAGTCATCAGCTATGCCTTGCAAATACCGAGCAATTTCCAAGTT